TAATGAAATCTCCAGCATCCATCTATACCAATCAATCATCCATTTCAGCCTCCTCTGTTTTAATTAAACCTCGCCCTTGTGAGTGTGTTATTCCGTCACTTCTCCATCACTTCCTGGATCTTGTCCATCAATAAAGCACACCGATTGTCCTACTTGACTTTCTTTCCAATTCAATACATATGCTTGATCCCACACAACAATGTTTCTACTTTGATCATGAAATTAATTTATGAATATCTCCTTACATCTGTGCATTATCATTACACCCTCACCACCTGTACCCAGTTTCTACAAAATCCTTTTACCAACTCTAGTCTTGCTTCTCATATATACCCATTGAACTCTAAAGCATCTCAACTTAAATCAAGGCAATCAAGCTCTAAATTATCACAGTCTCTACTAGTCAAACTAGTGATCACAAATGGCATACAACATGGGATCTCTTCCCTGCAGTGCTTGACCAATCCAACCACAATCAATCCAAAAGAAGACCTTCCCAATGCAACCTCAACCTATTTGTAATTAAGAATCACTTCGGTGGACTTCTTGTCCCCCATGTAATGACTCCATCAAAAGCCACAAAACAATATGAAGATGCTCATCTTTCCTTCAGTTGCATAACATAACAATAACTTCCATGGATAACCAACATAGTACTAAACCAAATAATATACTACCATTATTGTCTCATTTCTTGACCTTTGCTTAGTCACCCTCTTAGTTTCACAGCACAACTAATAAATTTTTCACTTAGTAGTTGATGCAGCATTTATATACCTCTTTATTCCTTCTCTTTTCTCTCATCATATAAAATACCTCCTCTATTCCACATACAGATATCATCAATATTTTTTAAAAATAACGCCCAAATAGTACACATTAATATGTGTTTGGGAGGGAAAAAATTGGATAAACACCTAACCTTTGGCATAGTGCACAAAGTGGCACTATGCCAAAAAAAACAAAATTAAAATAAAATAAAATAAATACTTTACTTATCAAAAAAAATTAAATAAATACTACCTAGTTGAATATAATTTATCCCACTATAATAGGTGCAACCTCAGTTTTGTTACGCTTCATCCTACAATGAGACTTTTCTTACCTTCAAAGCCCTCAATTAAAAACCCAATGCCTTTCCCATATCTGTAAATTGCTCCCAAGAATAAAATAAAAAACAGATATGGTTCCTAAAAACAGCGAAGTTAATAATTTCTGCTGTAATGTGTTCCCCTATGTGGTTTATTGGGTAAATAATGAATGTAAAGTTGTCACTGTTCCACATCCTTTAATTTCTTCATGACACAAACATTTGATCCTCACCCATGATGCATGTAATGTAATCCATCTCTAGTTTCTAGATGACTTATTCTAGTAATTACATGCATGTCTTGATCACCACACACCATAGTTGTAAACTTACAATATGGATAGTCATGTGAATTTATATATATCTTAAGACTTACTGGTCTCCATTTAAATATAATTATCTACTGAAGTTCTCCCTTTTCCAGGACCATTTCATGCTTTGTAACCTTCCCACCAAACGCCTTTTGAAGTACAATGTATTAAAACAATATTTTGCTTTCAAAATACAATTTACAATTGCTCCTATTCAACCCTCCAAGGGCCCATCATCACTACTAACACAACCGGGCAACTCATTTTGCAAGTCACTGATTCTTCTACCAAATCACATTCTCCTTTTACTAATACAGAATAAAAGCTTTAAATCTTTTGCTTTCAAATTTCAGCACATAAAACCTATTGCATATTTTATCTGCTTTGCCACCCAATATCCTGATATTATATTTGATTTATTATCGTGCACTGAAATCTCTCCAGGAAAAAAGTCTTTGATCACTAAATTGTCTGCTAATTTGGAAAGAAGGCAATCCAAGCCTTACACCTCATTGATGTGCATGTTAAAGAAAAAATATGTTAATTTTCACTACTTAAATCATTTGTTTACTAAAATAGATCTCAAATAAACTAAAAAATAACAACGGCTGAAAATAGCCACCTTCAACTACGATAATTTCTCTAATCGAAAAAGGAAAAAATAATTCAAGTATATGGTGGATTATGGTATCAATTCACAATAGTTGGCAGCTTCAGACTATCTTTTGAAATGCAACAAGAAAGGCATTCAAAATCAAAACTAAATTTTAGAAAGTAAAGAAACAACAAACCATGGATAAGCATCAGACTGTCAAAATAGTAGAAAGTAGCAGATTCATCACCTCATTATCCGAATCAAGGACTTTGGAGGCTGATCCTTCAAGCCACTGAACAATCCGGAGGCCTAATTGTGTTGTATGATCTGCAACAACAAACTGGCAAGCCTCCAAATGCAAAGTTGTTGGGGACTGTCATAAGGCATAAAATGAAACTCACAATATAAGAGCAGAAAACATAATGGAAAACTTGAGAGTTAACAATAGAAGATGCGTCACCAGCATCAGATCTTTTGGAAGTTCTTCATTTCCTGCAAGAAGAGAAAAAAAAATAATTTTCACAAACAAGCCAACATAAACATGCAGGAGCCAACAAGAATACCTTAGTCTAAACATTCAAGTACACAAAGTAACTTCAATATAACTTCAATATGCATCATTATTCCTAACCAGGAAACTATGTGAGCAAATATGTAACTAAAGTTTGAACATCCTAAGATGAATGTTGGGATAGCAAATCATCTAATTTAAGGATTCAATTTGGGGAAAATTACGAGATGAGAAATGTATATAAAAGAATAACCAATTTCACCATCAAATAGAAATTTTTTTAATAAGGCAAATGACAACACTTTGTAAAGCTTTCTAAGTATTCAATTAGACATGGTATTAGGTATGACATGCACCAACAATCAGGAATAAAATTCTTCCAAGATTTCTAATAGTAGTTGATTCACGATCCGATATTGTAACATATACCAATGTTGTCTCAGCAAGATCGTTACACCATGAACCAGCAAGATACTCAGAAGTCCACACAAGTAGCCGAATTGAAACAATGGATTAAAAGGTGAGGTGCAAAGTGGAGTGGTCAAATATTACATTGACCAAAATAGACAAAATAATCGTAAATGTCTAAGAGAATGGTCAGATCACTTATATGCTCATATATTCAGCATGGATGTAACTGACAAATATAAACTTCAAGCGTGCTTTAATCTAATAACATGGAACTACTTTAAAATCATTTTTGAATGTCACAATGCTATTCTTCTTAAGCACAACTAAATAATTTGATACCAACAGAGAATGGATAAATTACACAAATACTTTACTCCTCAATACATAAATCATGAAGTATGAACTTCCCAAACTTCAATGAGCATGCATTCAAGAAGTTTCAATATTGTGGTGGTGACACTGTAGAGCCCACTTTATCTATATAAAACATCAATTCTATGATAGGAACATTAATGGTAGAGATCTATTTCCTTCCCATATAGGTACCACAAAAGAGATCAAGAAGCAGCCTCATCAAGTAAGAGTCGAGCCTTCTACCTCATCAACTTGTCCTCCACAATTCTGTCTTTCATTGGATCCATACCTATGGAAGTAGAGCACAAGGACAGTAAAACCTATGAAGCACGGACAGGACACGCATACGGACACGGACACGGACACGGGCACGGGACACGGGACACGACAGTTTCTAAAAAATGGAGACACAGACACGGCAGGGGACACGGCAAATTTTTTAATTTTTTTATAAATATTTTTATTTTAATACACATTAATTATTTTATTTATTTATTATATTTTTTAAATAATGTGTTCCAATTAATTTTTTTATTTTATTTTACATATATGTGTTTATTTATTTATTTATTAATAAGTATATATTATCTTATAATATGTATTATATATTATCTTTAAGTATATTTATGTTATATAATAACTATTATTATATTATATAATAGTTATTATATAAATTATATAATATATAACTATTATATATAAATTATATAATATATAACTATTATAATATATAATAATAATAATAATAGTTATTATAATAAAAATGTATGTGAGATACATTTTGATCCAATGGCTGAGATTAATCCCAAGTTTATATCAATGGTTTAGATTTGCTTTGGATGGCTCACATTTCCCGTTCAACACATTTCTGTGTCTCCCACGTACCCTCTGTCTTCCCATACCCTCTATCTACCTTCCCATTCCTACTCTCTGATGAGATGTGAAGCTTGGCTTGGCTATACCATTTTGTAGAAAATATAATGTGAATGAAGGACAGACAAATACTGCTGCAGAGTTGAGAGAAGGTTGGAAACATGCGATTTGAATGAGGAAGATCGAACTCAGCTCCTCGACACCCACCCTCTTCGGCTTCCTTTGAACTCGCACTCACACCCCTCCCTCTTCGCTAGGCTCCCTTCAAACCCATCCTTTAGGTAATTTCAGCATTTTTTAATGTTGTGTTGCGTCTCCCCTTCTCTCTCTGTGTTTGTTTTTGGCTGTTGGATCGCCGCCATTGAAGATCACCATTGAAGATCAGCATTCAGAAAAAGAAACACTGAAATTGCCCTTCTCTCGCCGCCATTGAAGATCACCCAATCAATTATAATGTTGTGTTGCGTCTCCCCTTCTCTCTCTGTGTTTGTTTTTGGCTGTTGGATCGCCGCCATTCGCACACGCACCCCTCCTGCTTGGTGTTGAATTTTGCAGAGATTGGACCGATCTAAAGCGGGTGATCACCGAAGAAGAACACCTGCCATTCCTCAATTGGGAGGCTTGGATTGTATTCACAATGCCAGCATTATAGAGGTATTAGTTTAGTACTGATTTTGATGTATGTTGTTTATGAAAGATAAATTTTTGTGTTCAAAATCTATAGTATGCCGATTTTTTTTTTCAAATTTGATGAAGGATTGGAAATGCTATTAAATATAGATTTTTGAATGCTGGTTGTGTTGTTAAGCTTGAGAGTCTGATAGATCTTAAATTTGGTGTTGGGTTCTGTTTTTTTTATTTCAGTTTCAATGACTTTGATTTTGGGGGTATACGGTGCTATCAATCTACAACTTGGCTCTAATTGTTCTCTTCTAATAACACCTAATCCACTATTTGTGGAGTCTATAAAGGTAATTTGATAGCATTCATTCTCTTCTCTTTCATGGTTGTTTTTCAGGATCGGTACCTGAATTGGGTTGGTTAAATATACCAGAGGTGGAGCAATTAGATGAAGCAAACAATGGACCTATTCTATATGGATTTTACAAAGAGCCACCACGTGATGTTGTAACTACTTGGTCAGAAACTCAGAGCACCTATATCCCAGCTCATCTTTACAAGGCAAGTTAGTTAATTTTGTTATGCAACATAGATATTCAAGTCAAAGGTGGTGGAGTAAATTCTTTTCTTTTTCTTTTTGTTATAGGATTGGGTGTATATATTGAATGAGGGGTCTCAAATAAATATTTCGTACAGTGTGAACTCTCCGAGCTCATCTTCTCTAATCCTTATAATTGCCCAAGGTATGTTTACACTTCCTGACCAGCTTCTTCAAGGAACTACTACTTTATCCACTTTCATGCATCACTACAATCATATAATTATATCTTTAAGGCATGCTTGGAAGTCTTATGGTAATTGAATGATATGTTTTTTTTAATATAGTTTGAGGTTTTGTATATTCTATTGTTATGATGTATTTTAGAGTGTTGTTCTCATAATTTTGGATACAATTTTGCTATACATATGTTTATGCACACATATATATAAAAGCAAAACTACCCATTTTGATTCTTTTGTCAAATCACGAGTAACGAGCCGTTGATTTGAGTTGCTTACAGTTTGTTATGAGCGATTTAGAGTGTCATTCTCATAATTTTGGATACAATTTTGTTATACATATGTTTATACACACACATATATGTATTTACTTCATTGTTCAAAAGCAAAAGCTACCCATTTTGATTCTTTTGTCATTCTCCTCAGTTTTGAAGACAGAGTCTCCTCAGGTCGGTCTCTCTTCCTGTTTTTTGGTATTTTCAGTTCTTTGTGGGTCATTTAATTTGGGGTTTATTTTTATTTCCTCTCTTTTTAGAATGCTTTATTAATTTGGGCTGCCACTCTTTCTCTCAATCTAGGTTTATTTCCTGTTCTTGAACTGGTTTGTCTATATGGTTGTGGTGAAGATCATCATTAAGTGTATGAACACCACTGCTTTGTCATGTGAACCAACTGTTTGACAAAATGATTATGAGAGAAAAAAAAAAATACTGATACCCACATTTCTGCACTTTTTTAAATTAGTTGTTGCTTTTGAAAAGGTTTGCACATTGCATTGTTCTTCAAAACTTGCTCAATTTATTGCTTTGTGATGTGAACCAACTATTTGACAAATTGATTATGTGAGAAAAAAAAATACTGATACCTACATTTCTGCACTTTTTTAATTAGTTGCTGCTTATGTAGTTATTGGGTTATACAAAATTTGTCATTGCATTGTTCTTCAAAACTTGCTCAATTGCATCTAATTGCATCTAGGGTCCAACCTTGAGCTTTTGATAGTTTGTTGAGCATCAATCCTAAGGTGGATTATTCTTGATTTTAGCGCTCCATTTGTTTCAAGGGAAAACATTTTTTCGTATTTTCTGGCGTTGGGTTCGAAGAAAAATAAAAGTTGACGGAGAAAATCTTACCAATGCTACTTTACTACCACTGCCACAACCACTAATCCTACCACTAATATAACAACGGAAATTAGTTTGAAAGTCTCAACCATAGGAAAATGTTTTGTACGGAAAACAATTTGAAATTTTTTTCTTATAAAACGCTTTTTGCCGAAACAAATGGAGCGTAGAATTCAAACGGCACAATGGTCCAGACTTTATCCCAGTTTGTACCAGTCGCCTTTATTATTTACTATTGGATGTAATATTTCCAATGATAAGAAACTACTCCACCTTTAACTGGCCACCTTTCTTCGTAGATTATGCATCTCTAAGTCACAATGATTTTTTGTGGTTGTATCATAAATGAAAGTTAGATATTACAAAATCTGATTACTATAACCAAATGTGTTTAGTTTGAAAATCCATTAGAATGCATATGCAACTCAAGGCAGATTCCCTGTATCAAAAGTATAATGGCCTCATCTCCTCCACTCCACCCACTTTATTTGCAGAGTTTTTTAATGGGTTTTTCATATTGTTAGTTATGTTATATATGCCAATCTATGTATTTTATCAAGTTTTTATGTATGCATTGTTTAGTTCCTCAAACATGTATGCATTCAGTTTCCAATATATTAAAATGGTTAAGATATTAAAAAAATTCAATGAAAACAAAAAAAATATATATATGGAAAACGAAAAAGTAGAATTTTCTGAAAAGTGAATTCTGAAAACTGAAATCAAATAGATTTATGAGCTGAAATTCTTGGAAAATAAGATTGACAGACTTTTTTATTTTTTAAATTTTGAAGAGAGAATTTATTTGATTATATTATGTAAACCCTCCAAAATGAGTATTATTCATTCACAGTATAACATCTTCAGAAACTGAATCAAATAGTGACATAAAAAATTGAGACTCCAATACGACACTATTTTTGGAGTACCCGTGCTTTATAGATTATGGAAAATTGAGACTCAATTATCAGAATAATGCAAAGTAATAATTGTAGGGCAGAGACTGTATATATTGGGTATATCAGAATATGGGTATATCAGAATAAGGTATATCCAATATATACAGTCTTATGAGACTCCATTATCAGTATAATTGTAACTAAGTAACTAAGGATAGATATACCCATTATTGGATAATTGAGACTCAATTATCAGAATAATGGGTATATCAGAATATGGGTATATCAGAATATTGGAGTAGGATATATTATGTTGAAAAAAAGTATAATTGTAACTAAGTAACTAAGTATAGATATACCCATTATTGGATAATTGAGACTCAATTATCAGAATAATGCAAAGTAATAATGGATGGTTATACCCATAATTGAGACTAAGTAAATCATAACCCATGGTATTGAGAATAACTGATTGAGATACAAAGTATACTACATAACGTTGATGCATTTGGATATAATGCAAAGTAATATTGTACAAATAATATTCTGATATATCAAAAAGTATATTATGCCCGTTATCTGGATGGGTATATCTCAACTAAGTAGCTATGATATTATTGGTCCGATAATGGGTATATCAGAATAATGGAGTCTCAATTATGATAACGGGCAGAATAATGGTATATCATAACTAAGTATCTAATTGAAGTTATCTCTCTCCCTAGCTACTTCCTAACACATGAGAGATTATATGTTGAGATATTATCCTTTATGCCAATAATGGAGTCCCATGGCCTGAGATATTATCTATGTAATGAGGTTATTCTGCTTTAACCCATTAATTTTATCCGTTATAGTTTGACCCATGTGCTATAAATTAAATGTTAGGTATTGAGATATTATTAAACATTTAATCAATGTAGTATATCATAACATTTAATCAATTAAAACTAATTGAAGTTATCTCTCTCCCTAGCTACTTCCTAACACATGAGAGATTATATGTTGAGATATTATCCTTTAGGCCAATAATGGAGTCCCATGGCCTGAGATATTATCTGTGTAATGAAGTTATTCTGCTTTAACCCATTAATATTATCCGTTATAGTTTGACCCATGTGTTATAAATTAAATGTTAGGTATTGAGATATTATTAAACATTTAATCAATGTAGTATATCATAACATTTAATCAATTAAAACTAAATGTTGTCTGCTATGATACCATGTGAAGTTATTTGGGACCAATTCATTTATGGATCAGTTGTATTTCCTCTGTTAATCAACTCTGCTATTTTCTGATTGTGATTGTGATATAAAACCGACACTCTGCTATTTTCTTATTTCAATTGCTTTCAATTGTAAACTGATTCAATTGTTCTTGCGATCATAGTTTCATTCACAAACTGATTAAATGTTCTTTTATCTCTCTGCTCTCCAGGCCTGTTCTTCTTCGGTATTTTTTGATTATCTATCTTTATTTCTTCGTGTCAAGCTTTGAATATGGGTATTCTCTCCCCATTTCTTTGTAATATATTCAGGTGATCTATATTACTTTATTTATATTATAGGTCTACAACATCTACTTTACTGGGATTAGCATCCTCACCATTATTGATTTCTGGATCAATTGTATTTCCTTTGTTAATCAACTCATTTGTAATGGATTCTTGCTATGCAACCTTGAGAGCCAATACCCACTTGGCAAACCCAAGCAAATGTGGTCTGAGTCATGGTGATAATGGGTTTTGGGGGGAGAGGATGAGAGGGAGTCTCAACAAGAACAGTCGTCATTGGGTTAATCAGTTAGCAAAAGGCTTGAGATATGAGAGAAAGGAGAGGAAGATCAGACCTAGCGTTTCTTGCTCTGTTATTACATCAGACAATGGCAAAGAGACTTTGGTGAATGAGTCATTTCCATTCTTTGATCAATCTTAACAGTATCCAATTTTGGGAAGTAGATAGGTTTTTGCTTAATCACAATAGCATAATTTCTTGTGGGTTTGATGTGTTTTTGCTATATGGATTTCAAATAAGAGGAAGGTTGTCTGATTATGTCTTCACTCTTTAGTATACCCATTAAAATCTTGGTGATTTGAATTTCAATTGATATGTGTTTGTTGGATATATTAATCTCATTTTTGAGTTTTAATCTAATTTCAGACCATAGATGCACCCCGGTTTGAGAGACGAAGAGCGAACCCAAAAAATGTGGCTGCAATCATATTGGGTGGAGGAGCAGGGACTAAACTCTTTCCTCTTACAATTAAAACTGCAACACCAGCTGTAAGAAACTACTTCTGGTTTAATCAGCCTGTATATGACATTATTATGACTTTTTGGTTATGACAATTATGAAATCATATACATGTATGTGTGTGTGTTGAGTTAATTCATGATCATCAAGGTAGCATGTGTAAATATTAGAGATATAGCCTTCTTTTCTTTCTTTCTTTCTTTCTTTCTTTCTTTCTTTCTTTTAAATTTATATATATATATATATATATATATATATGTATATATTTCTGTTGAACTTTCTGATATGAATGCAATGATCCTCAAAAGGTTGACCTTTAATTTCAAGTTGACGTCTCTAATAGGAGGATTTTTTGGTGGTGTTTTATTTTCTTTTTCCTCATTTTTCACGCTCTCAGAAACAAAATAACAAAAATTTCAAAAACATCCTTAGTTGTGCGTAATCAGTTTTCGAAAATTAGAAATTAAACTTTTAATGTTTTCTAAAATGTGGGTTTTTTTAGAAAATTTTCTCGAAAATAGTTTGCCAAACAAGTATAGTGATTCTCAAAATGATGACCTTAAATAGTGAATATATTTTTCAAGAGATCTAGGGCGCGATCATGTGATTATTTGGGATATAATATGATCTATGTGCTTAAACAATTTTTGAAAATTTGAAAATAAGTTTTTTTGTTTTTATGTTTTTTTAAAAAAGTGGGTTGATTTTAGAACATTTTCTTGAAAGTAGTTTTCGGAAACAAGTGTATTGATTCTAAGAAGGTTGACCTTAAATAGTGAATATATTTTCCAAGAGATCTAGGGTGTGATCATGTGATTATTTGGGATATAAGATCTGTGCTTCAAGAATTTTCATGGTTATCTTATAGTCATGATTTGATTTTGGCATGTGAAGTTTCATACATTTATTGGAACAATAGTGATTGTACGGTGGTCAAAGTAGCTTATTTGGCCACCGTACAATCTTTTCAAAATTTAAATTATATTGTTGTGCAGGATTCACTGCACACACGGTTACTTAATAGAAGTGTTTTGCATAATCAAACATTGGTGAACAAGTGGTTGCTTTGGATGCCTCTGTTTTAGAGTTGATTGTATAGTTTGGTTACTTGCAGATGTGATTGAAGATTTCATGAAGGTAATATGCATATGCTAATAATGCTTTTTTCTTTGTTGTTGAATAATTTTATTTTATTTTTTTAATTTCATTTTGGTTTCAATTTTTTTTATGGCGTCCTCCAGAATTAATATCAGTGTCCCCTTTGGCAGTTGTGGGTGGGCAAGAAACCTCTCTTTTTTTGAGGGGTCGAAATCTGAATATTCTTGGCACCAAGTATGTAGACTGCATTCTTTTGCAAGAATAGTTGTTCCATTTTCATTTATGCTCTTTCTTTTCAGAATTTAAATTATATTGTTATGCAGGATTCACTGCACACATGGCTACTTATCAAAGGAAGTGCCGGGATCAGCCTGTCAGGAAACCATACATGATGAGAGAAGCTTGGTCCGTTTTAAAATTAATGGGGTGGGTTACCAATATTGGTGAATATTATAAATTTGATTTGTTTGTTTCTTAATTTGCATTAAGATTAGGGGAGTTGTTATCTTATTTGAGTTTTGTAAAGCATGTACAAGTTCTTTAAGAATAAAAATATTTTAATATATTTTTATAGCTACATTTTAATTTTAATATTATTTACACCGTGCCTTTAGGCACGGGCATACGCTAGTAGTTACATATATTATACTCCTATATGAATCAAGGATAAAGACGGGGAGACAGAAGAGACAGAGGGAGACGATCGCGATCAGCGAGAGAGAGGGAGAGAGAGAGAAGGCGAGAGAGAGAGCTCTGCAAGTGCGAAGCCGAAGGCGAGAGAGAAAGCTCTGAGTTGAAGTGGACTGGATCGTCGAAATGGACTGGATGAAGGTCGATTGGCTCAAGATCGAAGGCTAAGAAGTCGCCGACCAGGTTTGTACTCCTTTTCTCTTTCGTTTACTCTTCTCCCGTGTACCATGGTGTGTCCAGATTTCAACACACGTGTCCCCGCCGTGTCTCCACCGTGTCCTTCACAAAAAAATTAATTAAATTAAGGGGACACGTCAGATGTCGTGTCCCGTATGTGTCCCCGTATCTGACACCGCCACGGCTTCCATTTTGGCGTGTCCATGCTTCATAGAGTAAAACAACCAACCAAAATGCTGAGCATTACCAAATTTAATATGAAAAAATCAAAACAAAATATTCATGATAACTGCAACTTAAGAACCTCATTAAGCAAAATTCAAATCTAGTATTTACAAAAAAAAAAAAGAAAAAGAAAAGGTGCATTGTACAAAATATTTTAGGCAAAGACCTTTCTTATTGTTTCTTTCTCTATAAACAAGAAATGAGACTTCCTCCTCCCTTATCTACCCACCTCCTACTTTCATCCTAATAAAGATATGTTTCTCGTGCATGAACAGTAAAATACTACAATATTATTCACAATACCTAGCATGCTACAGTAGTACATGTGCACACATTCCAAAAGAAGACTTTTCAACAGAAATACAAATATATGAGAAGTGTGAGAGCCACCTTATTGACTCTGATACATTGCCGCAAGATCTCTCAAATTGCAATATCAGATCACGGATAGGCATCAACCCTGTGATACACAGAATGTCAACTGTAAGATACACAAGGGAATCATAAATGTTATTCATAATAAGTTTTGTGGCAGAAGAAACTTGAGCACAGAAAGGAAATTCTGAACACCAGTGTAGTAATTTAAAATGTGCGACAAGATAAAGCATCCATTCAGCTTTCAAAGAAGCAAATCAATAATCTTTGTAAGCTTCTCAAGTCTACCATCTTAGGTCCAAAATCCTCCAAGACATTCTGCAAGACTTATGGAATGGAAATATTTATTAGGTTAGCACCAAACAGTTACTAGATCAGCATCCAACATGGCTCAGAATAACATAAGCACATCAAAAATTTAAAGATTTTGTAATATGCAAAATAAAATTTTAACTAGAGGATAGAGAAGTTGACTCAAAATGAGCTTCAAAGATTTGAGGTCAAAATCAAATTTCATTTCTACAAGAAGATCATAAGCATCGAGCAATTTGAAAAGTTTCCATGCTAGTTTTAGTAAGTTATTAAATGTCTATCCCAGAAACAACAAAAAACCAAGTAGCGTTGCACTATTTCATCATCATGCAATCACCCTAAATGTATCTATGCCATAATGTATGACACAAACAGAAAAACTCCACATATATATATATATATATATTTAAAAGGGGTGAACTTGGATTTACACATAATTAAACACAAAAACATAGTGGCATCACATATACAGAAGCATAATCAAATAGTTCCTGAAACTCCAAAAGATTAATGCACTTGATGAATTGCCCTCTTTGATGTCAATGAATCCACAATAATTAAAGTTCAATTTTTTTTTTTTTAAATGATCCACTCAGCTCCAAAATTGATAAACATTAATTAGATTCAGTACAACATCTTGTGATCTTACACCTACAGAAACTGGCATAGGTTAGATGAATAAATGCAACTTAAACACATCCTTTGAACCTGGTCAAAATCTATAACCATTGACGCAAGAGACCAATCCATATGCAAAAACAGTGAGAAAATTGTGATTTTAATTGAGACATTTTACTTCATGCACCTTAGAGAGTAGAATCAAGTAGAGAAGCAAATAAAGTAAAAGTTGTATCTCCACCATCTAACAATGCATCATCCTCATGCTTGCAAGATTTTAATGAATAACTTCTAAATCAACGTATCGAATCAGCAGCAACATCTGCCTCAGATACACCACAACTGCCAGCCAATGATTTTCTCAACAAAGAAGATTGTGTCTTTGAAGGTGTTCCTTCTAATTGATCAGCACCAAAGCTCTCAACCTCTTGTTTTATATATTCAAGAAAAAGTGAAGCGTTTGGCCGCCTTGCAATGCTCTGCCCATCATACAAAATCCTGGTTCCACTGAACTTAGAAACTGAATTGTCATGACGGGAAGTTGAGTGCCTTTTCCTACACATTGTATAATCATTTTGTGCAGGTATGCACAAGCGAAATACAGTAAATTCTGTAATTCGTTAAAGTTGTGTTGGTAAAAATACACTTAAAGTGCAATAACAAAAGAGCGTTTAGTAGGTAAAACAAAGCATATTTACAACACTGCACTAAAAACATTCTATTTAATAAGCTTAAATCGATCTTTTTTTTATATTTTAACATATATAATTTATTAGCTCTACCTTTAGATTTCAATGATGATAGTCGTATGCTTAATGAAAATGATCATTATACACTTTAGGATTGTATTGCATTGCTTATGTTAGGCATGGACCACTAGTGTTTTTCAATTTTGACTTTTAGATATATTTTTATTCAACCATATGCTTCATTTTGATCATGACTATCAAGTATCATGATTGTGAATATTTTGTAATTGTGAAAATTTGGTAAAGCACATGAAAAATTATATAAAAAGATTTGTTTAAATGGTATATGATTAGTTGTGAGAGGGTGATTTTTGGCAAAAATTGGGCCGAGCTATGTGATGGGCCTTGTGGCCCAAATTGCCAAGGGCTAGGTAAAAAAGGCTGCAATGTTACTCCAGCCCAGGAGAAGTATAGTTACTCCGGCTCAAGAAGGGTTAGTTGCTTCGGCCCAAGGAAGAGTAAAGCTACTCCGGTCCGGAGGCAACTTGGAGTTAGGCCGGTCTCAGAGTTAGTCCGGTCGCAGTATGTTCTGGGTAGGCCGGTTTCAGAATTAGTCCGGTGGCAGTTTGAAGTAAGTCCGACCTTGCATTTAGTCCTGTCGTGACATACTATGGTTAGGTCGGTCAGAACTTGCTACTTGGAAGTTTGATCTAAACATACCAAGGTTGAACAAGGGCAGCCGAGGTAAGGAGTTAGAGGAGAAGACCGAGCTAAGGAGAGTTCGGCCCTCTGTGGCTCGGCATAGCCAATTTTACTTCGGTCACATGGAAGTTCGGCCATGGAGAAAACCATCCCACTTGGTTTAAGCAGTGGGGAGGGAGAGTTGGTAGCAGCTGGTCACTTGGACAAATACATTGAAGGAAGACCGCAACCGGCCCCCTAAGATCGTAATGACCATCCCAATAGAATGCCAATTGATGCACCACCTCAAGGCACTATCAGTGTAATTCATGGAGTTTTTGAACCTGAGCGCGTATGCGAGCTCAGAGGTTCAATTTGTCTATTCGTCAAGTTTTCTGACTTAGGCATGGGAGAGGTTTCCGGCACACACCCGCCGGTTAGCTCACGTTTGTGTTTTCAGGTGGTAAAGCGACGTCGTACGGAGGAGCGTGGACTTGGTCAACAGGATTATACGAGGAGAATTATTTCCTCCCCGTACAATTGGCGCCGTCTGTGGGAAGAACAGACAAGAACAAAAACCTCTTGACTAAGCTTCTCCTTTTCTTAATCAATGGCACACATTGAAGAACTACCGCAGTCCGCCGTTGATGGGCTAACTCCAGACGGGGGCGCAAGGCGTGAAGGATTACCCTCTGTCCCTCCTATGGCAGATCTGGAGCCCCAACAACATAACTCCAGGAGGAGTGGCATGGGAAGGCGGAATAGCAGCCCTCGTCAATCTCAAAGTCCTGACAGGCAAAGGAGGAGGATTGATCCTCAAGCCCTGGAAGATCGCGTAAAGGAACAAGATGAACTAATTCAGAAGATGGAGGCGGACATGGAAGCATTAAAACGCCAGATGAAGACTAAAGATGTGGCGACAGGAGAGGGGCGCAAGCACAAGACGCCCCCTCGCCACTCAGAGAATCGTAGTAGGAATACTACACCCTCTCAAGGAGAGAGCAGAAGCCTCAGGACAGGCGACACTCATTCCTTATCTTCCAGGACTCGTCACTCCAGGTCTGAGAGGACGAGATCCGAAAGATCATATACTGAAGGAAGCACGTATTGGCCTTCCCATTCACACCAAACCAGATCTAGACAAACCGCGCTGCCCAGGTCATCCGACTTACGAACCGTGCTCGAAGAAAAAGCACGATGCAAGGAGGATGCCAGGACAAGAGATCCACACCGAGTTTCGGCCTTACAACGGTTGGCTCCTCGGACGCATGGAAGCGTCGAGGTTGGAATGCCAATACCGCGACCGGCCTACGAACCGACGGACAAGGCATTGGCAAGACTACAGACTTCGCCGTTCGTCCCAGCGATCAAAATGCGCCCCTACCATCAGGCTTCCTTCAGCCGAAATTCAATACATATGAAGGGAAGACGGACCCGTATTCACACCTGAGCCACTTTCGCCAAGTCATGGCTGTGTACAGGCGAAACGAGGCCTTGATGTGCATACTCTTCCCGTCGAGCCTTGGCGACCTAGGCTTGACTTGGTTCGAAAAACTCCCAGAAGGCAGCATAGCCTCCTGGGCCCAATTGGCAGAAGCGTTCGTAACGAGGTTTCGGACAAATACTAAAACACCGGTGGAGATAGACCAGTTACTCTCCATCGACATGGGTGAAAAAGAGACCCTCAGATCTTACAACAGTCGCTACTGGGAGACATTCAACCAGATTGGAGACTGCCCCACCAATCTAGCCATTGC